TTGACCAGGAAGCAACATGATAACATAATTTACTTCCTCCATTTTACATTTCTGAGTCAGTTGCACTGTTATGTGTGTGTATACTCAACACACGCACACGACACAATCTGAATTTTTAGGCATCAAAGATCACATAGAGCAACCCTTTTTGGAGGCCATGGCTTCTTCATGGAAGGAGGTAGAAGTTCTATCCACTTGAACTGTATCATCATCATCATCGTCATCATCTTCAGCATACAAACAAGTACCTGCGGGGTTTTCGAGTGCATCACACACTCCGTTTTATCAAAGCGGTGACTTAACAATACATTAACAACAAGCATCTGCTACCTTAACCACACATCTCAAGTTCTTCTAAGAATCATCAATATAACTGGAGGTGAAAAAAAGGAATACTAATAATAATAATAAGCAAATCAAGTTTCTACCTATCTAGTTAACTCGCAATATTAATTCTAAAGAAGACAAACCACGCATACGCACATCCAAACACCACGAAAGAAGAGTGAGATCGATCACAATAATATACAGCACACGTTCTGTACGCGGCATGGATCGGAGTCCCATCATCTCCTGGAACTGGAGCCGGGGGAGCATCCACAAACCGCAGTCACGGTTTCGACCTCTCTTCGGTGGAAGCTCCGGTGGCAGTTGCAGGCGGCGCACCTGAGGGCGTCACTCGTCCCCTCCTCTCCCGCCGCCATGAACTCCAGGCAGCCGTCGACGGCATATCCACCGACGTTAGCGGCATGGTTCTTCCTGCACTCCTTGTATCTCACCACCGATCTCTCCTTCTTCACCACCGGGCCACTAGAGGAGGTCTTCTGAGGCTCGTGTTGAAGGCCCATGCTGCTGGTTGGCTCTTTAAGCTGGTCGGCTGCAGTCGTCGCTCTTGGGTTAACAAGAAGAGAAGGGATTTGGCAGGCAAGAGTGAAGGAGGGATCGAAAGGAGTGCTGTCGCTTCACGTTATAGTGGACTTACATGGAAGTGGCGAGGCACTGAAGTAGGTCGGCTCGGTGGTTGCTTTGTCAAATTATGCTACTCTCTCTCTCTCTCTCTCTCTCTCTCTGTCTCTCTCTCTCTCCACACGTTGATAGACGACTTGCGATTTGGGTGATTCTCTTGGTGGCATAATCTAAAACTAGGATAGGTTTATATCACACAAGAAATGATGATGACTAGTTTGATTCCATCGTTTTTTGGTACACTTCCCATGGTATCAAATATCGCCCTTTTTTAGGGAGAAACTTAAATTATGGTCTGCTTTATCTAAAGTTAACTTTGGAACACTAATGAAGGAATTAATAATATGTTTTAGCATCAAAGGTTAACATCAAACACGGAGCTAACAACAGGAATTAGCGATGATTCGGTAACTATGGAATAATTAACTAAAAGCATCTAATCTCCGAGCTTTGGTACAATAATTTATTATCCTCTGGAACATCCTACACTCAAAACATTAGGAAAGTAAATCAACTTGCTTTTATTATCTATCTGAAAGATATGCTTTGGTAGACAGAGGAACTTATTCTTGAAACACCAACCTCGAATGCACGGTTTGGCATATATTCAACAATCATTAAGAAATAAGAGGTAAATTCAGATATTCTTGCACATACATTTAAGCCAACAAAGTCCATCGTATAGCCATTTACGTTAGACACAATGTGGTGGACACAAGTATGATGATACCTTTCCATACTTTAGCCTCACACCATCCTATTGTCAAAGTGTCGGCAATGGAGCATTGTAGTCGATAATACTACGACGAAGCACCTTAGTCAAATAGTGTGTTGCTACGTGGACATGTAATTTAGGTCCACTCTTTACCATTGCATTTATTTGAAGATATATCAATCTTAACAATTGAAAATTGACCGCTAACAAGAACATTGATCTTCATCATTCCCGAGTCAATTTATTTTTTGTGACCTTGACTTTCTTCATTTGACCATGTGGTGAGTCTTCTAAGTATGCAAAATAAATTAATAATAATAATAATAATAATAAACGATAACGCTGCATTCTTTGTTGACACACAGATCTTGTAAACTAGCAAATCCTGCTACTAAGAATCCCCAGATCCTTAGGAATACGTTTCTAATAAGAAGACAATAATGCACTTTTCTTTTATGTGTAGAGCAAGGCCACAAACATCAAAAGACATCCTAGTAATGTGTAGGAGCATGGAAAAGAAAATCAAACTAGAAGATAGATCATCATTTACCACAGAATCTAAAATAAAATATATAGCTTGTTGAAGTGTATTCATTCCTTTTTAATATAAAAATATCCCCCCCTCTTTTTTTTTGAAGCCATGGTCCTGCAATCTACACAGTTCACAATTAGAGATGCACATTTTTATACACCAGATAAAGATAGGAATTTAGCCTTAGGACTTTGCCATTAATGCATGAGGTCTTTGCTAGCTAAGTTAACAGACACATTTTAGATGTGAAGCATTTAGTAAATAGCTCTCAATAGAAAATTTTCAGAAATTCAATCTTTATTTTGTAGGTGTGGAAACGCAATCAAACATTACCATCTGCTATGGAATTGACTAAATTATGCGTATATCTCTTCAACTACTGATGCTATTTTAAATTGGTCTTTAAACTACTTTTGGGTCAAACCGGACACTGAATTATAGCTCTCATAGCACTCGAATCCTTCCTTCGTCTGCCACAAAGTTTTTTGCTGGCTTGGCTTGGCTTCAAAAATTGGTATAGCATTCACATTTTGAAAACAAATACTTACTTTCCGAATTTTGATTTCAGAACTCTGAAAATTTGGCTTTTATTCTTTGCGTTTATTTAATTGATGATTGGCATGTCATGTGGATCGTTAAATCTAAGCCAACAAAAAAATAAAAAAGTGACCATGACATGGTAATTTAACATATAAAAGAACAAATGGAGATGACAAAATGTTAATCAATAATTTGAGGATCATTTTAGCACCAAAAATAACTAATTTGAGGATCAAATTGAAATATTATCCAGGCAAATCAGAGTACATCGATGAACACAACTAATAATGATGAAGCTAATAAGTGCATAACAAATCACAGACAGGCCAAGTGAGATAAATAAGGGACAGCAAAAATGTGAAAATTTTATACTGGTGCACTCCTCATAATAAAATAGTTTAACCATAATAAGCTATATTCGCTAGTGGGATTAACCATGATAACATAGCTTAAGAAAATCGACATAGCTAGTGGGGTGGCTTAAGACCCTAAACTCAGTTATTTATGACTTATGGGTCCTCTAAAAAGCTACTTTCCAATAAAATTAGGGGGAAAAAAAAGGAAATTTTTTGTGAAGTTTACATCATGACAATCAGTCTAGTCATGGTCGATATCTTAAAAGATTGATCGCTATTAATAAATCAGACAAAAATTTTAATGAAGATTTTTAGAGCAATAGCTAATTCAGTTTGCATGGCTTAGATCTGAGGGAATAGAAGCAGAAATGGTCTAGAATTTTGTCATCAGGATGCCAGAGTGATTTTGGGTTGCAAATAAACAATCTAAATTGTTGTGGAATTGAGAGATCAGTTTTCAGTACTTAATCCCAAATTTTGTTCTTCCTTTTGTCAATTTAACAAGCGAAAGATCAACTAGACATGGTTGGTGAGCATCCAATTGCAATGCCATAAAGGTAGTGGTTGGGCAGAATTAAGTACATAGATGGCCTTTGCTTGACACTTACTGCTTAGATATCCCTTACAATAACTGGTAGACTCGTTGGTAGATGGCAGTCCAGAAAGCAAAAGAAAGATTCCTCATGGAAGTGAGCATTGGAAGCAAAAGAAATTGACTTTACCAATATAAATTTTCTGGACTAGCTTAAAGCCATTAGTGTTGAGTGTCTTCTCCTATCATGCCATCAATTTGAGCAGCCAAACTCTGACAGACTAAAATCCAACCTGAGACTACATAATACACCTCCTAATTATGAAAGACACTGTTGCTACATTCACTTATGCTCCATGAGTTAATTTTATTTGGAAGAGCTTTGTGACCAAACAGACAGTACTACTGGAGCTCAGGGAAGAACAGTTCTTTAAGCATATGGTCTATAGAATACCTTTGGTAATTGAGGAAGTTGGTAAAGATTGAAGAATTAGGTTATCTTCCGTTTATATGTCCCACTTGATTGCTGTACAACCTGCGGTAGAGGACTTATGAATGACAATCAAGCATGTCATGTATTTTGAAATGGTATTATGAATTTAATTTTTAAGAATGATCATTATAGATAGGCTATATATATATACTTGAACCACTATTTCAATGCCACCAGTTTCTATGGACATCAACAAACAATGAGTCAACATGTTCTTGCCACAGCGAAGAATGAAGTCTGGAGGTCGACCAGGTCTACCCACTATGTCACGTACAAGAAATCGTTCTGCAGCTACTCTACAACATGATGTCAGTGACATTTCGCAGCAATTAAGCCCTTAGAAATTGCTTACGGAGTCAGCAGTCGCCCACCATTACTTTGCTTTGATTCCCATTGGCGCTTTAGCGATGAACTAGTTAACCTCGTAAAGGACGACCGAGTCTTAACCGTGAAGCACGTATTGGCTTCAAAGCTGAAGTTTTAGCGTCAAGCCCAGCTTAAATAGATGGACGAGATTTGTCCTGTGGCCATTAATGGGTTGGACCATCCAAATCAGCGCGGTCCCATCTTGATTACCAAGTTTTGACTCCAAAGTTCCTCGACACTGCGTGGAAGTTCACTGCTTGTTTCTCCACGATAAGACAACAAAGGACCCCTTCTCGGAAGATCGAAAAGAAAGCAATACGTACTGGTTGATTCTCTCTCTTTCCCTCTATATATATATAGATTGGCTACACAAGTCATTCATCATGCACATCTTATCCACGTTACTAGCTTGCTTAATTCTGTAACGAGAAGCATCGTAATGGTCATCTATCTGATTTTGCTGGTTGTGAATTCCGATTTCTTCTGCAACATAAGCCATATCTTCAGAGACTTCCTTCGATTTTGTGCAACCTTCATCTATCTGATGTCGTTGCTGATCAAGTTTGTCGTTCAAAGTGAGACTAGTACCAAGGAGGAAGAGGAAAAGGAAGAAAAACACAACGAAAGTCTGCCACAAGATGCAAAATGCAAATGGTGCAACAAGAAAGGAGAATTGACGTATGATGATATCCGAGTGGTGGTGTGGAGGCTCGGCATGGTGGGTCGATGGAGTAACAAAGAGGTCAAGAGTGGAGATGACTCTATCACGTGCGAAGAGTGTCGAGCGATGGAAGGAATCAACGGGCTACTGGAGGATAAGCTAGCTAGCTTGGAAGAACTGAAGGAGGCATTCTATGTGTTCGATAGGAACGAGGATGGGTTCATAAGCCCTAAGGAATTGTGGTGTGTGATGCGGAGGTTGGGCTTGCAAGAGGGACTTGGTCTATCAGACTGTGAGAGGATGATTCATGTCTTTGATGAGGACAATGACGGAAAGATAAACTTCATGGAGTTCAAGCGCTTGCTCGAGAACACTATTTAGTCTTTCTTCTTCTGCTGTTACGATGGTAGCACTTACGAAGTAGATCCAAGTTCAAAGTGTAGTGTAGTGTAGTGTTTGATCCCTCAACTTAAAGATATTTGAAGTCTGTTCATGATTGAATCGATTCTGATGTTCCTATATTATATCATATTGTCTTCCTTAATATGAAGCTCAGATTAGATTTTGAGTGGAAAGCGAAACTCTCTCAATTTGATATAAATCCGAGTGAATTACACATAAATGCATTTTAAATTAAAGAGAGAACAAAATTCCACAGACAGAAACTAATCAAATTTCAGAATTTATAAATTTTCTAATTAGTTGAACAAATTATCATTTTTGTTTTGTTTTGTTTTGAAGAACTATTCAAGTAAAAACATATACATAATTCGAATTTTTAATAATTCATGGAATTTTGCTACTATAATTAAGCGTACCTTTTAGATTTCACTAACCAAGAAGCCAACTCGCTTCTTCAATTAATATTATTTTTCGAGAAAAATAAAATAAAAAGGTGTTCCTAATTCACGGTCCAGGAATTAGTAGCTCTTGGCCTTTGAACGGTCACGATTAATCCGATGAAGGGGATCTACGGTCTAGGATGTACTAAGAAACCCTAAAAGGCTGCGAAGAGTTTGTTATATGGTTCCGCGACTTCTGTCGGCCGTCTACGTCCGCTGCTTAGGGTTCTCGGGAGGTACTCTCTGTCTTTGCCCCTGTTTCTTTGGATTCGACTCGATACATTTAGTTGTCGCTCGAGGATAATCCCTTGTTTCTCTTTTGCTTACACTCTCGTGTTTTTGGAGGATAGAACGTTATAGTGTCTCCCTCGATCTTGAAGTGGTAATGTATTTTTGCATTTATCTGTGCCGATTGCTGAACCCTGAGCGTCAAATCGCGTATTGGCTCCAAATCTAGCATTTCGATTCTTAAGTTCGTCTGCGGTTTGGTTGGCTGAGATATCGTGAGATTTTATATCCTATTAGTCGTTCGACATGCTTGAAACCCATCCGTCTCATTAAACATGTGCGCTCATTGAATTGCTATCATCGGTATCAATTAACGAGTATTATTTCTCGATATTGTTTCTTTTTCTGCTTGTTCTACTTAATCTGAGATTTGTTTCATGTTGAGACTTTACAAGGTTATATTGGTAGACTGTTGTTGGGGTTTTGTGAGGGTATGCATGCGTGCACGGGTATTTGTGCGATCATTGATTGCTGTAATGGTTACAACAGTATTGCCAATGCTTTTGGATTTGACAAGGATCTCAATATTGTGCTGCAGTTAACCTGGTCCTAGACACACTATAGTAGCTTTATTTGGTGGCCAGAGTTTGGTTTTTGTTTTGGATGCCTGCAGCCATGAACTGGATTAATTTAGTTGATGTTTGACTTTTAATTTACATTTGCTTTACAGGCAATCCATGTCATCTTTCTCCTCTGACGACTGGCTTTTGTCAGTCGATATGTTGATATGCTGTAAAATTATCTGAGATTTATTTCTTTTTGTAACTGCTACACTGAGAAATGAAGTTGCTAGGAAACTTCAAGTATATCTAATTCTTTTATAAAGTTGTTACTTTTTCTGATGGTCTTCAAGAATGAATGTCATGTTCAAAGTCTTTTTATTTCTTGCAGTGTTTGTACAATTTGATTTGAGTTTTAGTCTTTCTGTTATATGCTCTTTTTGTAATCTTTTCTGCACATCTGTTGCTGGTTATATTCTAACTACTTTTACATGTTTTCAGAATAACACGTTGAAGGAAATTCAATAAGATGGTTCTCAAGTATGTTCTGTAATTCTACCTCATGCATCATGCATTCCTTTTTTAATAGTTCATCTTGTCTTCCACATCAACATGTTCTCTACGCATGTTTTTTTCCATCGTCCACTTTTGTCCACCTTTCATCTTTCATACTTGTCCTATATCCATGACATTCTAATGAAGTTGGCTAACCATGTGCTATACATTTATAGGCATTATCCACATCTGATTTTCATTTGATTCTCATTTGTGATACTTGAAATCTCCTATTTCAGTTTTGACCGTTACTTTTTTCAGTATTTTCTGTATCCTAAATCCTAAAATTACACTTTCTAATGTAGACATCATGCTTTGTGCTAATGCTGCAGGACTGAACTCTGCCGTTTTAGTGGTGCCAAGATATATCCAGGAAAGGGCATCAGATTTGTCCGATCTGACTCACAGGTTAGCTTGCCAGATATTATTTTGGACTCAGGTATCTAAAGGAAGTATTCATTTTTCTATATTAACTAATGCATCAATATCTTCAGGTCTTCCTTTTTGCAAATTCAAAATGCAAGCGTTACTTCCACAACCGCCTGAAACCTGCTAAGCTTACGTGGACTGCAATGTACAGAAAGCAACATAAGAAGGTTTCCTTTTTCCAGTCCACGCTCCATCTATTTGCATCCATTAATTGAAGTATATTTAATTGTATTAAATACTCTGTGATGTCCATTTGTTAGTTCACTTGATTCTTTATGCCACAGATATCTCCAGAAATGCAAGTATCATATATAACTCTGTAAACCTTGTAAACTCTCCTTTGGTGCCCTTGGTTGTTGCAACAGGTGGTAATTTGTAGGAATATTTTAGTAATTTATAGGGTGGTGATTGCATGGGTGGCAATGGGGTTATCTTACCATGGCTCCATTCACCTTTACCTTCAATAACAACAACAACAAAATCATAAGTCTCAACTATTTGGGGTTGGTTATATGGATCTTTTGCCATTATTGTCATTGGCAGATATGTGTGTGTGTATATATATATGTGTAGGTATGTATGTATTTATACGCATGACACAATCTGACTTTTTAGGCATCAAAGATCACATAGGTCATATCGAGAGGAGAGGGTGATAATTTTGATTTTCTTGCCACAGGACATTCATGCTGAAGCTATAAAAAAGAAACGTCGTGCCACCAAGAAACCATATTCTAGGTCTATTGTTGGTGCTACCCTTGAGGTCATTCAGAAGAAGAGAACTGAGAAACCTGAAGTTCGGGACGCCGCAAGAGAAGCAGCTCTTCGGTACTGTTCATTTGTAGCTTTAGTTGTTTCTTATGCAATAGAAATTGGATAATTAATTGTGATGAAAAAAAATATATGGCTAGCTACTTCTATCGTCAGTGTAGTTACAGAATCTCCGGAAACCTTTGAGTAATTATACTTATTTTGCTCTTAACCTCTCAGACCATTCTTCAGCATAAGTTACCCTAAATTAGTTTGCTCCATGAAGTGATTATCTTGTAGTGTTTACGTATCTCCTAATCAGACATTCTATCCTTTGCTTTCATGATTATGGCTATTTATGAGTGCTTTGCTGTTGAATTTCTATGTCAATCATGCCTTTTTGTTTTAAATGTCTAATTTCTATATAAAATTATAGTCAATCAGGTATTAAAATATGACATTATGATACTCTAAACTTCTATCATAAATTTGTGATTGCTACGTGCGACCACAATAAGTATTATGTTGGAATATGGTTAAAAATCATAAAAATATGATATTATGTTACAGTTGTTGACCTAAATTTGTAATTGTTATGTGAGAATACAGTTGAATAGGCATTGTGATATTACAGTATGGTTCGGTGGCAATCATTTTCTTGATGACCGGTGCTCTCCTTTTGGATTTGAACTTGCAAATTATCCTGGTAAGCAACTGTTGTTAGTCATCCAGATGGTTACTGCTTGTCTGCTGCTGCAGTGAAATCAAGGAGCGTATAAAGAAAACGAAGGATGAGAAGAAAGCCAAAAAGGCTGAGATCATGGCTAAAACTCAGAAGACGCAGACAAAAGCTGGCGTCCCCAAGGGTGCCAAGGGCCCCAAGCTTGGTGGTGGTGGTGGCAAGCGTTGAAAACCTAGTTTCCCTGCTTATCCATTTCTGTTGACCGTTGAGAAATTTAGTCTGTCTGTTTACTTGTACCCTTTATGAACATTATCTGCAGCAGGTTGTTAAGTATCATATCAAACTTTATCCAACATGAGAAATTTATTAAAGACCTAGTTTTGAAGGTTGATTAATCTATTGGCCGTCATTCTGTTTTAAGATTGTGTCCTAGTTGCAGGGAAGCTTGGCTTTCTTTAATTAAATAATTAAATGGGGAAATTGTTTCTGGTCTCTAGAACTGACGGATCTGGTTGCGAAATTGCAGGTTCAGTCGAATTTGGAACCCAAATCGAACCAATTCTATATGGTTCTTCGAATGAATTAGAATCACATTTTTCTTTTTTAAATTTCTCAAAATATCTCTCTATTTTTTAAACTATTTAAGTGATGTATTAGTTATTTTTAGGGGGCATTATTTAGTTTTTTTAATTATTTTTTGGATTGCATCGTAGACTTCGGTTCCGAGGTGATTCGATTCATCTCGGATTTGGTTCAGAATTGTCGAACCGTTAACCCAATTTGAGCTTGCTTCAAATTGGGCCGGGTTGGTTCTTTCTGATAGTTTTGTTATGAACAACAACGACACTAGATATTCTTGTGAAACATGAAATAGCTGCTCCTGATGATAACAGGTTCTTTCCTACATGAAATCTTGTTGGATAATGCTCTTGGTTGCATGCGGATTACATATGCCAGTCGATTGGTACGAATACGCAGTATGGCGAGTATGATAAGTGTAATGGCCGGTTCTCTCAGTATAAAATCAAACTAGCTGAATGATTGACTATTAGACCCGTAAACATTGGTCGGGTGTCGATCATATATAATTTTATGGTTCATTATGGATGTTTGAGTGCGATTTTCTTCTACTACATGGGATGGATTTCATCTGAGACTACCATAAATTCTTAAATCATGTTAAAAACCCTAAACCCCTCCCTCCTATCTGTGCTGTTATTTCCCATCTCCTTTTATCCTTTTCTATTCTCCCCTACTCCTTGGTACTAAATTCACTTTGTCATCATGTCATTCACAGACAGTCCTGCGAAAAAGTCGAAAGGGTTGGCTGAAGTCGATTCTCACTAAGTTTTCAACAATGACTAGTCACCTTAACAATATCTAAGGATAAAGACATAGTAAGTTCTTGTCCTTGTAAACAAGTGATCCAAATGTCAATGGGTTCATCGATTGTTGTCTTCCCTCGGTTCATCAATAGCATTTATCCATGTACCCCTAACATATATCAGTTCCTTTGTTTTCTCAAAAAGTAATGAGATCATGTTGATCCTTAATGCCATGATGTCAATAGAAAAAATCCTCAAGAGAAAGTTGGCACTCATAAAATTGCTAGCTTAGCGAAGAAACAGAAGACGATCTGATTGAAATTTAGTGATATTCCAATGTTTCTTATTCTCAAATGGCAGAAAGCTGAAGTTTATTTAAAGCAAACCTTCAATCACCAGCTCTAGATCCAAAGAAGTAGTGTTCATGGCAGGCTCCAGCAACTAAAACTGCTTGAGATTGATCTTTTCCGATGTCACAGCTTCAATGGCACTTCCCAAGGGCCATGCCGCCTCTCCAAAGAAATCAGAATCACCATATCGAACCTGCCTTACGAGTGTGATGTTTTGCCGTGGCTTCAAGCCTGTTCAGTGAAAAAACAACGACAAAAATCAGAGTCAAGTTTCATGAAATTTGAAGTACCTTCAAGGATCATGGACCGTATCTCACCAAACCCATTCACGAGCAAGGTGTACTGGTAGATGAGATCCATGCATACATATGGCAAATCATTCTTGCGAACATTAGGATACTTGGTTTCTACGGTGTTCATGGTCACTTTGCATGCATGCTTGGCAGCTTCCATGAAGTCTGAAGGTTTAGCCAGGGCAGAAGTTGCAGCAGGGTCTACGAAACCCACCTATATATATATGTATGTATGGTTATGATCAATAATTAAGATAAGAAAAAGAGTTGACCTGATACGATGTTGTTGAGTGGAGTTGAAACTTACATCAGAAGGTCTATCAAAGAAATATGATGCACCATACAGAGTTTTCTGCCCAGCTCCACCGCCTCCATTCCACACCCCTCCAAATGTACAACTTGAATATTTGCATGGTTCATCAATTTTGAGGGCCTTGATCACTTCATTCCTACATTTGGTGAAGCTAGAGCCCGAAGGGGAAGATGAAGCATTGTAGAGCTCTCCATCATAGTCATACACCCCTTCATGGAAGGAAGAAAGGAACAATGCAATTTTCAACATTGTTAATGTACACCATAGTGTATACGCTTGTTTTTATTGCTTGATGTGATGCTGCTGTAGGTTTCATTAGCCTGCTATTGTGGCTTAATAATTGTTGTGGATTTCATTGGCTGGATTTGTGTTGATATCATATGGAATTGTTCCCACTATCCTGTGGATTATACTCTTTCGACCAGCAAGGTAGGGGAAAGCATAATATTCTCAAAATACTTGATGCATGAAGGAAAATCATGATCACAGTCCTCTATGAGCAAAGTTTGGTCATTTAATGATAACTCGATCCTTCCTCCAATAGGCTTGCAAGTAGCATAGGGAAGAAAACAAAAGGAGGATCCTCAAGTAATTCATTTGTCAAGGTGGAAGCTAGTACAGAAAATGACTTGTCAAAGGGGAAAGATGTTCGTAGAGAAGATGGATCAGCCAGCAGAATGTTTGGTTAAGGTTGCAGAGAGAGGAGAACAATGAAAAATGTAGGGAGCTTCTAATTGCAATGGCAGTTGACTGAAACAAATGAAATTAAAATCCTTTGGAAAAAATCTATTGTATGTCACAATTGTTCTTTTCGAAAAATAAGGCTAGTTTCAAGTGAATTTCACAATTTACCTAGTGTGAAGATAGTAGATTTGTTTGATGATGTGTGTTATGCATGTCATAAAATATGTGTAGAAGAAAAAATCGCAGAATTAAAGCACCAACCACACAAGGTCACTCAGTCATGCTTTGAGGATCAATCTCAAGGATATTTTCTTAATTCATCAAGTAAAAAAGGAAAAAGGGTCTGGAAGACAGATGGAATTTATCAAGAAATAAGATCTCGGACATATCATTATTAAGTGATAAAAACAGGAATTATGTGCATTTAATATACAATTCATCTGTCGTCTTTAGCTGGGTTTCTGGTGACAATATTAGAAACTTTCAGAATTTGCATGTGCCAAGCAGTTTGGAACTTGAGGCTAAATGCCTACTCTGAAACTGATGTTGATCTTTGTTTGCTAAGTTAAAGAGACATTCATACAAACAAAACTATAGTAAATGAACGAACACATCAATCAGAACAGTATGATGCTCTAAATAAGTAAAAGTGAAAAATGTAAACACACAATAAGAGTGTTGGAAACAGAATAGCATACCATTGTAGCCACCCAGAATGCAGTAACTGTATGATTTAGTAGCAACTTTTAGGATTTGGGCTCGAGCAGCCAATAGTCCATAGTTCAAATAGCTGTCATGCCAAGAAGTCAGAATTAGGTTTGCAGCTTCAACATTTTAAGAGTAGAAATGCCAGAACAACTTCATTAACAGCTATCAATAATGAAAATTGGATTTTGCTGAACTTTTGAAAGTCTAAAAGAAATAAATACTCATATTCTCCATGCCACTTCTTTAAAGATAGTCTTATTTGAAAATTGCATGTCAGATCTCAGTAGATCATGTGTAAGCAAGTTGCACCTATGAACATATAAGTAGTATTTGGCTCCTTGAAGGAAGAGTTCCTTGACATATGTTTCCTCTCCACTTGGGACATTTGGAGCATTAGCAGCAGCCTTCTCAGAGATGGCATAAGCCATTTGAACAGAACCACCACCCAGATCAACCACTCCAATTGATTCAGAATATTTGTTGCCCAAGTGCCCTAACAAATAGTTTATGGCGACCTACAATGGAAAAAGAAACATAAATCATACTCGTTAAACAAATGAAAGAAAAAAAAAAAAACATGAGGCTATGGTTTTAGTTCTTGGTTAAAAGCAGTTTAACAAGATGTTACAGCAACTTGTTCTGAAGACTAGAAAGTGAATGTAACTTTTGCACAATAAACCAAAATATTAATTTAAGTTGTTTCAGGTTGTAAGGTTGTCCATCCTTTCTTGATCAAGCTAATGTTGATTATGATTCAGCCTTACATCTTGAGTTGCAAGATTTGTGTGTGTGTCGGTCTTTGGTTTCATTTAAAAGGACTAAAATGATATTATTAAACTGACAAATAATTGATCCTTGATTAATATGTTTTGCTATAAAAGACAAAACTCATATTGGAGTATTTCTTGAAATGAGTACTGATAAAGAACATTCTTTGGAAATGTTTTCCTTTCTTTTCTTGCTCTATCCAAACTAGAACGCCGTGTGCAGATAATTGAACCAAATATATCAGACATATTAAAAATATATATATTAGAATTTATTAATAAAGTAGGTCCTTTCCCAAGTCCCAACAACTTAAACCTTTGGGATATGCTGAATCCAACTAAATCTTATCAGGATACAAGAATGGGTCATGATCTTGAGTCTAACTCCTGCTTTTATTATTTTAGCCAGCGTTTGATTGCTCACAATCGGGTCTGATTGTGCAAAATTTGTTGCTATTTTGTTTATACCATCCTGCACTTGGGTCCACGTGTCAAAGTCTAATCCAGAATGCTTATAAGAGGATGTTAGAGTGATTGGGCCTTTTTATAAAGTTTATACTTATATGCCTAATCTGGCTTGTAAGCTAGGGGTGTTAGAGACGGAATTAATGGTCATCCAATCTAAGCTTTGTTTTGGTACCAGAGAAAGTAATATGTATTAGGTCCTTTCCCAACAACTTAAGATTTTAGAACTAGTAGTAGTTGTTTAATCTAAATTTTATCATGGTCAAAGTAGGTCACAACTTTAAATTATTCAACCCATGTTCGATTGTCATAGATGTGTCTATGAAGAGACATTCTAGTGGTTATGTGCAATATGCAGAGTTATGATATAAGGAATACTTATCATATTATGTAATACTTAAATGGAAAGAGTGAATTAAAAAAATGCCATAGATGTGGAAATTATAGATTGGGCCATTCATGGTCATTTTATAGCTCAAGCTTTCTTGACCATATGTCACTTGTTTTGTCTATGTTAGCAGTATATGAACTAAAAAGACAAGAAACTAGTGACTTTGAAATATTATTAGTTTGTAAAATGTACAAATTCAAATGCTATAATGCCAAAAAGCCCATCTTTAGATCCATCAAGAACTGGTTCTGCTCATCTGCTAATAAAAAATCATGAACACAACAAACTAGTGATGTTGAACTGTTATGATGCTTTTGTAAAACGAACAAGTTCAAATGTCATACCCAGAGATAAGATCCTTCTTGATATCCACTAAGAACAGTGACCCAATCATCCACAAGTTCTAGTGAGCTCTTTTCTCGAAGAAGATCCCTGACCTGTAGAATTGAAGGTATAATCGAAACAACTCAACTAAACAACTCGACTCATAAATATACATATGGAAGAACATGGAGGAAAAATGTATAATATGCTGGATGAAAATCTTATTTAGAACCTAATCCGAGGTGATACATACTGCTTGCAAAATTTGGTTGGACTTATCTGTTCCCAGAGATCTCAAACCTGCTGTAGCCTGCAAAGAGATATCAAATTTCTGAAAAATCATTGATTATTCATAGAAAAATAGCTTAAGAGGAACTTTGTATTCACGCATATTCTAGCCAAGATGGGATATGTGGTAAAGTGCAACTTAAAATTCAAGAAGACTGCACAGAAGATTGGGCAAAAATTTTATTGCTTATTGTAGTGCAAATGCCAGATAAGCAACGAATATTAAGAAAAATACAAGCCAGAGAGGAACTTGTTAAAAACACTGGATATTTGAATAGTAGAATGATATGCATCGTGGATTAGTATTTCAAACAAACTTAAACGGGTTCACAAGGAAATCCACATGTTTGATTCGCTGTTGGTCCTAAGTATGGATTAAAAATGAGTTGCATTAGGCCATTCACCGTCAATGTAGAATAATTTAGGTTTATCCTTTACTACAATAGTTATATGTCAAATGGGTTTTCTTATCGGATAACCACATCCTCTAGCAAGAGGTTTTAATATTTTTGATTATCTTTGGTTTCGTTGAACTTATTAGATCTCATAAACATGGATCTTAATGGATTCTATTATAAATATCTCTTTACAGACTATTAGTGTGAGATAAAGCATAGTATGAAAAAGAAAGGTTTACCCCCACTCTAATAGGTGTTTTGTTCCTCAACTCCTCCGGAATCACGCCTACAGCTTTTTCCAACAACGGAAGAAGTGAGTTTGCAGCTGCTTGAGGATCATCGGCATATGCACTTAACCCTGGTTTTACCTGCACAAAAATGATGCAACAAGATGAGAAGTTGAATTCAAAATGATGAGTGGTTAAATTGATCTCGGAAAAAAGAAAAGTTAATTTAAAAATGCTTCAGAAGGGGTTGAACTCTTTGTCCCTTCATTTTTCATTTTGATATATTTTATTTTGCAGTTATTGAGGACATGAAAAATTGCCTGATTCTTATCATAATAAGCTTTTGCACTACACTTTTGTAGACTTCGCAAACAATGTACTCATGACATATTCTGTCTATTAGCTTAGAATCGATAGCAATACAAAGTTACAAACCATATCAGAAGAAATTGTTAGAAAGGATTGCTGAAACTGCAAATTGTCGAACAAATACAACATGAAGGGCATGTAAGATTTGAGGACGTTTAAAAGAATTAGCTCAATGATAGAACAGCAAATGAAGATGTTATTGGCATATCCGGATTGGATCAACCTAATGTCTTCACCTAAATCTAATAAGATATTATATTGTTCAAATACAGATTCAATCCTAATAATTATTATAATGGATTCAAGTACTGGTCTTTTTGGTGATACCAAGCAAAAGAGGTCAGTATATTATAAAAAATGATAGTATTATACCAGTCCAGTAGATCATAGAAACTAGTATTGGATCGATATTTTAAATCCTCATTATCATATTCTGGCCAAAATTCAAGACAATTTTATGAATACTATTATTTAATAGACCAAGCTATAAAGCTTCATACCTGTGATGTCAGCTTAAATTTATCATTAAGTAGATTGTTGGATCCATTGGCATCCCTAACAACAAATACTAAAGGACAACTTTTTTCTTAGAAACAATCTCCTAAAGAATTCAAAGGTCTACAAATTCAAGTCTGGATCCAACATTTACCTTATCAAGAATTAGATCGAATTCCAACTAGTACCCTGTCCAATGGTTTAATGAAATATAATGTGCAAGGTTCCACTTATTACTCCTAATTGAAGCTCACACCACAGCAGATCATGACTAATCCTGGAGATGCTACATGTAGTATGTGTCACTTTGCTAAAAGTGATAATGACTTAGTAGTAATGTGCCACATGTATTTATTTTATTATTTTCACTTTTCTCACTTGTGGTTAAGATTGTGAAATTTTATCCTCCTAGATTTTGCTCCATTAACCATGTTATAGTCTGTTCACCTACATGTTATCCATTGAAGAACAACAGAAGTTATACTCTTCATTTAAAAGAACAGAATACTTCCTTCACTGATTCTTGGGATGAAACATGGATAATGTATAATACTATAGATGATTTCATTTCTCTTTATAAAAAATCTTTCTAATATTACTACAGAGAATGCTGTTATTGGTGTGAATCACTAAAAGAACTGATACCACATCAAAATTTACAAATAACCCCTGCTCTCCATAAATCTTAACATATTTTAGTTCTTTGTACGTATTCCATCAATTTATGAAATTGCATCAGAGATTTCTGATGTCAAAGTACTTTATATTTTCAAGCTTGTTTTGTTATTAGTTCAGCCAATTAGTCCTCAGCCTCACCAATATAAATTGACCACCATCGTTTTCCCCTTCCTCCTACATTGCTAACACCACCTTTATCAACATATTCATTATTATCATCCTTGTTCTCCATTATCATTAAAACTACTGTCTTGATGACTATCATCCAGCAACCCAACACCTTACTCCTATCATTTGATCATAAAAAAAAAGAAGAAATAGTTCATTTTATTTTTTAAAAAAATTGAAAGATTTTTCAGTACATTAAATAACATGCATAACGCTTACACATGGACTCGATCTTGAGATCTATCACTTGTGCAACAATACACTAACTAACACAAATGTATCAATAAAAACGATCATTTTTTAAAAAAAATTAAAATTTATTATGATTTTTGCAAAAGTTATGAAATATTCACAGAGTAATCTGTGCTAGTGACAGAAATTGATGTTAGGGGATTAATTGCAAATTTGATAAAAATTAAGTGTTCAATTGGAAATTTCTTTTTGGCCAGGCTTAAATGTCTTGTGATGTACAGAGATAGCAATGACTCCATAGATGGGTCCCACGTGGTGTCCATCATTCTCCGTTCACAAACCAGGCAGGTGATTTAGGCAACCCATAAACAGGTAAGTAAAGTATCTATCATTTTTCAATTAATTTTGTCATAAATCCAGAGGTTATATACAGCAATTCTTTATCTGTTTCCCTGTGTAATGGATTTTTCTTTTTTGTAGAGAATACAGGAAATTTCAATAGCTAGAAGTTCATCCCCCATAATTTTCAGGTTCTTATTGACTGAAAATTTTCAGTCTTTTTAATCTGCTGAACTTAACCATGACTTCTAGTGCTTATTAATTACGTACAAAAAATGAATTTCTTGGCTTCAAGAAAACAAAAACTGAGAAAGCTCCCCTGTTCTTTACTTATTAGAGAATTTTCTTCTTTGGAAAGGACACCGTTCGGAGAGAATAAAATTAACAAACTTGGGAATGCTTAACCCCCTTGTTTTCCCACTCCTTCCATGTCGAATCTCGAAGAAATAACGTGAAGATAGCATCCCTGAAACGTTAGTGGTATGAGTAACATGAAAAGAGGTCCTCCACACAATACTGGTTGTTTCAATCAACGCCCACCAAAAGAAAGAAAGAAAAAGACAAGAATCTGAGAGGAACAAGAAAGGAAAAGAAAAGAGAAGAAAGGAAACAGAAAACTCGTATATACCTTAACGAAGAGCTCAATGTCGGACCCTATATGGACGAGCTCCAACCCGTCGTCGAAGCAGTAGACATGGACTCTGCTCCCCGTGCTCCCGGCGTCGAATATTACGGCGTAGCGCCGTGACTCAACCGCCGCAGCGCCGCTGGCCACGAGCACCCGGCCGGTGGTGGCGGGCAACGAGATCACTAAGAGGAGCAAAGAGAGAAAGCCGAGGAGGCAGCGGACGCGCGCCATTCTGCCGCTGCTTCGCCGATCGCGTCTGCAGCGCGGCGGTTGGGCCTTGGATGAGCAGAGATAAGCCGTGGAGTGTGATGCGCGTGGGAACAACATATCCGATTATTATATTATTATCATTATTGTTATTATTTCATTCTTTGGACCAAATTATTTGTCCTCTCTTTTCAATTATATATATATATATATATATATATATATGAATTATTATATGTGGTTCACTGACGTAAATGCTAATTAGTTCATTAAGTCACAAAACCCAACGTCAGTGTTGGAGCTTCTTTATGGTTTTGCTTTGGAAGATTCGGAGGAACACTGCAACCACTTTACGTGTTTAACGAGTCACCGTAGATTCGCACTTTTAGCATTCAAAGTAATTAATTATGCCAAGATGGCTTATTTATTACCCTAAGATAAAGCGGGCACACATGAATTAGGTGGACGATTAGTGTTGTCCACACATTCAATAGATTTTATTCTTTTACTATAAATTATATAAGTATAAAATTTTAATTAATCGAGGAAGCGATAATACGTATCCACATATATATTTTTCTTCTTCTTTTGAATCTATTTAACCCAAATTCATGCCTGATATGATCTTAAGATGGAGGCTTTTGGTCTAAATTACAATACTGAATTTAAATGAATTTAAATTACAATTCGGACCTTATGATATCCAGAATCCAATTTTCTATGAATTCAGTTCTGCATGAGCAAATAATTTTAGATTTCAGATTATTTAATCACTGGCCTTAAGCTCTAACCCATTATATTCAAACAAAGTTACAATCTCCATATCTTGATGAGGTTAACCTCCCAACCACCTCCCTTACTTAGTTTATAAATAAATCTCTCTCTTCTTTCAATTTTATTGTCTATCCTTTTATTTTATTTTATTTTATTTCAAACAAGCAATCAAATTCTTTTACTAATGTTGGCCCATTCAATTTTTTTACTTCATTATTACTCTCTCTCAATGGAATTTAAAAGTGTTTTCTTTGGATGTCATTGACTCCGTTTCCTATGGTTTTTCTCCATGTGTTGTTTCCCATTCAGAATCAAGTCAAATCAATTCCTATGGACTCATCTTCTAGGAATTGACTATATAAAAACTGTTTGCATCCATACACTATTAACTATTCATCTTGAAAACGACCAATGCACCATTTCATTTCGTTCCTTCTCTTGATATGAATTCGATGGAGACATGATATAGTTGGTGTGTCACTTGAGATCAACGACACAAGCATAGTCACATTTGACGGTAACATTAGACCGTAGGATGTTCCAAATACACAATTACTCCATTAGTTATGGTTGTATTTTGGGCTTTAAATTTAATTAGTTTTCTGAGATATTTTTCTTAGGCTCGAGAACAGTATTTTATTTTATTTTATTTTATTTTATTTTATTTTTCATAAATTTATTATAAAATTTTCTTTAAGGCCACAAATTATTTGTATCGAATTAAAGATAATTCAAATAAACAAAAAGGCATATCATAAGATCACGAATCACGACGGTGGGTTTCTACTGTGGCCTAACCACAAATAATATTAATAAACTGGGCCACGTCAGCTCCCTGTTTCCGAATTCGACTCGAGCTCTCCGCGGCCTCCCTCCCTCCACCGAACCATAGGAGACGACGCTGATTATAAAGGCAGCGCCCCACCAACACAGAGAAACCAAGAAATCTTCTTGCAAACCCTTTCTTTCTTCTTCCTCTTCTTCTCCTTCGCCTTCTCCTACTGCTTTATCGTGAGCTGAGGGCGCTACAGAGGGCCTTTCCTACGCAGCGGCCAAGGCGAGACAAGACGGCGACAGAGAGATCGACTAAAACCCTTGATTCCTCTTAGGCCGCTGTCGCTGCTTCTACTGCCACAACTATTTCCTTTGCCTTTCGGGCTGAGAAGCCTCGTCGACGAGGCAAGAAGAGATACGATCGATGGCACAAGAGTGTCTGCAAGAAAAGGCGTCTCTTCTGCAGACGCAGCAGCAGCACCAGAAGACAGGTGAGTCCGGAACAAGAAACCCTTCTTCTTCGTTTCTTGGGTTGTTCGTTTCTTCTCTGATTTGCCTACCATTTCGGGAATCTCAATCGACGCGGGTTTTGATCCTTTTCTCATTCAAGATTGCGTCTTTATCGCATGACATGATCACTACGGCTTCCTTTTCGTCTCCGCCTATTCGTCCAATTCACCAATTTTCGTCGGGTTTATGAATGTTTATGCTTGTATTGTCTCCTGGTAGGTTCTACGGCTAAACTAATCCGCAAATTGAAAGCGGCTGCGAAGAAAAAAAGTGAGATAACACGAAGAGCCTTCCTGAAACTTGGGAATCAACTGGTTGACAGGTGCCACTTCATTACTCGCGTTGCTTCTTGATCATTGAAATCGTTCAGGAGTGAATCTAGGGTTCGCAAATTTGACGATTTCTTCTTTCTCCCTTTTGCCCCCCTTCTAAAGTTTGGATCATCTTCCTAGGTCCATTCCCTTACAAATGCTTCCTTCTAAGATTCTGCCGAAGACACAGCTCTCCAAATTGAGAAAGGTATGATGTGGTTGCTGCTATATCCCATAGTTTTTACTTGTGTCACTGACCAGCTTTCAAAATCTTGGTGTTAGTTCCATACTGAATCTTCTATGCTTCGTGTTGTGCAGAATTTAGTGGTTCCTGCTGATGACATTGTAACAAATAAAGGATATGAGAAAGTTGTTCGGCAGAAAGATCCTGTCGCCGTCAAGTCATCTACTGATTCCACTGTGGATGAGGAAATCTCTCACACCACCTCGGTAAGAAAGTTGAACGCTTCCTTTACTTCAGCATGGACTTATCAGAACATTTGTAACCTTTTCACATTCTGTCTTTGCATAAGGTGCTAGCTCACATAATATACTTTGCTAGTGACCGCATAATACTTTTGTCTGGCTTTGATCTGTACCAAGTCCGCCACAAGTATAGCACTTCCACTGTCGTCAAGCTATGCTAGTGATGCACATACATCAACGATCTCATTGTTACAGTGGTATCTATTGAATTATCAGTTATCTTGGTTATTCTCAGTATAATCTTTTGAGTTTGAGCTGTTGGGTTTCGTTCATAAGGTCAACATTGAATATTGGATTCAGTAGACAAATAAGCGCTTGAGTTAGGTTCTTGATCTTACCGCTGTTAATTATATGTGAAACCTCATAAAATCAATTAACAGATGATAGTGATGTCCAATGTTTAAAATGATAGTAACACATGTTGAGTTCACTCAGATATCTAATTTAGCTAAACATAAACTTGTGGTTGTTCATTACCTTCCGACAGCAAGAGACAACACATTGGATAAACAACGGTATCATCCAGAACTTTCATTTGGAGCACCTAAGATTTGACAGATTGCTTAAGTAGGAAAGATCACTTACACGAACTTCCCTGGTTTATTGATGTCTGAAAATGTAATGAAATGAACTAGAAAGTAACTATTGTACTTGTACCAGTTCGAGGTCTGTAATGTCATTGGGTATCTTTGAATAGGCCATAAAAAAATAGTGGACTAAACTGACTGAGGTCTTAATTTCCAGGACACATAGTCTAGAGCCTTTAAAGTAAAAGAAGCAAAGAGAAAATAATGTAATTATTTAGAAGATAAAGCAGTACAGGGTAAGAAAGACCTGATATGGTCCATTCTAGCCAAGAAGAATGTGAATAACTTTTGTGAGCGCAATAAAGTGCATTGTTATGGAAGGTTTAATTTTGCTTGAAAATGTCGACAAATGGTCTTGGGGCATGTACAAGATGTTCTATGGTTTTTGGAGGGAAGAAGAGTTTGTGCTACTTTAACCAGAATCCAACTTATAGTTCAATGAATACAAGATATCACACCATGGGCACATTCGATATCACACCTAAATTTCTGGAGGATAGCTGCCACATTTCTTATGGCATTCAAGTTTACAGAGCTTACTAAAACATAAAATTTTAGTTGTGAGAAGAAGCAAGCAGAACATAAGCAAGGCAGTGCCTGTAGAGTTTATCTTGATGGTGGTTAGGTTTATCTTTTTTATCTTCGGCCATTTTTTTATTTTTCTTTTAATTTTCACTTATGTTGTTGATGAAAGCGGAGGTTCAGGCAGAATTAATTCTTTGCACCATGTATCAATCATATTTATGTGTATATATTATCAGCCAGTCGTGACAACAGGTAAACTATCTATGGAAATTTCATGTGTTAGGAGACAGCTATAAAATGATAGTTCCATAGGTAAGGTGGTTGACACAATTTTGATTAGATTTTTGCATCACAAATGTACTGCTAAAGCTGAAGTAATCATAATCTGGAAGTAATATTGGTTTAGAGCTAAAGTAACATGACCAAGTGATAGAAAACAAGGAGTCAATTGCCTAGTTATTGAGCAAAAATGATCCTTCAATCACAACAAATTAGTTACAGAGGCTTACTGGAGAATGCCCTTTCTTCCATTTTGAATCATCAGATGTATTGATTTTCAAGTGCATGCTGTTGGGACTTATTTTGTAGATGCCTTGACAAGTTGGCAATATTGTTATGATCATTAGATAGCATATGACTAGACATTTTTCAATCTATAGTTACTGCTTCACATGCACTCTATTGCTTAAAGCCTTAAACTATTGATTCTTTTATGTAATTGATGTAAATAATGAGTTTAAATTTGAGCATTTTATCAGTTTTTAATAAACTGAAAGATCAATTTCCAATGTTGATGCATTGCATTCATTTTCTTGAGAGAACAGAGACTACAGTGCTCGTTACCATGCTAGTAAAGGCCTCATGTTTTGTATCTATATATTTAGGATGTCTCTGGGCTTAGCAATGATACGGAGGATCCGGATCATGTTATTGATGCATTGGATGGTGACAGCGAATTGGCTATTGTGGAATATGTGGATGATATCTATAACTTTTACAAACTTGGTGAGGTATGTATTTTCTCCATCTTAACTTCTGTTATTGTCAATAAAAATATGTTGGCTGACAATATAAATTTATTGCTTTTCTTCATATAGAAATGTGGAAGACCTCGGAAATATATGGACTTCCAGTTTGAGATCAAGGAAGAGATGAGATCTACTTTGGCTGACAGGCTGATCGACGAGTTCCACTGCTATGAATTAATACCTGAGACTTTGTATCTCACATTTTATATAGTTGATCAGTATCTGTCAAGGGAGGAAGTGATGGAGACTGACTTAATGCTTGTGGGAGTGGGTGCTATGCTCATTGCATCTAAATATGAAGATCCATTGCCTCTTGGGGTACCAATAATTTTTCTAATCAATCTAATTCAAGTTCTTTGCCTTTTTCCCGCTTACGATGATTCAGTTAATGTCGACATACGTGCTATGCCTATGTTCAGATTGAAGACTGCATTGACATCACACATGGTGCATTTAGCAAGGAACAAATATTGTCCAAGGAGAAAGCAATTCTAGAAACACTCGAATGGAACATTACTGTTCCGACGCAATATGTATTTCTTGCGTATTTCCTGAAGGCAGCCATGTCTGACAAGGAGGTGGGTTTTCTTATGTTTGAGTTTTTTTTTTTTTTTTTTCTTCAAGATTCTCGATAGATGCTTGTGCTGATGAGTAAATTAATCCAGATGGAGGACATGGTCCTCTTCTTTTCCGAGTTAGGACTGATGCCGTATTCATTGATCACTTATTTGCCATCCTTGGTTGCTGCCTCTGCTGTCTATGCAGCAAGGTGCACCCTTAAGAAGACCCCACGTTGGACAGAAATGCTCGTGGAGTATACAGGTTACTCAGAGCAACAGTTACTGTAAGTGGTACCAAATTTGATTTCTAGATTATGATCTTTGCACGTTTATTGATCCATGAATCTCTCTACATAGCGAATGTGCACGCGAGCTGGTTAGCCTTCACTCGTCAGCAGCAGAGGGTAAGTTGATGGCGGTTTACGAGACATACTCAGACGCAGAATTTGGAGCCGTTGCGTTGTATCCTCCTGCCACGGAACTACTACAGTCGAAGAAGTCTGCTTCATCATGAGCTCCGAAGACATGGATCGAGGGGGCATCCGATAGTTGCTTTACGATAACAAGATGTAGATCCTGCATAACTTGTTGAACTGTGGACAAAATAAGAGGAGAATGGCTTTGGACAAATTCTTCCTATTGATATTATTGTATAAGTTGTTAGGTTCTCCCCAGTACTTTTTTTTTTTTTTGGTATATATATTCCTTGTTTTGTGTCAGTTTCTTTGTTACCCTAAAATAGGACCATCACAGTTGCTTAGCATTGTAAATCTTAACTATAAATCTTTGCCATGTTTGATAGCATTCTGATGCTACCTACTTACTAAACTGGAAGAATTTGTGCAGGAGAGGTTACTTTAGTTGATAATCCCTCTGTGACAAATGTCGTCCTATCATTGCTTAGCTATCTTTGGTGAGATTTCTTGTTTATTTGGTGATCTCTGTCAAATTAAAACTTTTGGTAATTAATTGAAAAAAATTCCAATCCGATTTTTTTCCCATGAAATAAGCCCCCTTTTTAACTGTGGAAAAACTTTTGTTTTTAAAAGTGTCTAAATTGCTTCATTTACAAAGTTGAAGCACTGTTACTGAGGTAGCCCAGCCAGACACTAATTAGCTTCGAAGCTTACTGACCAAATCTTTACCAGGAACCAATAAATCATACATATTAAGTAAGATCCAGCTCGGAAATTGTCATTGGCAAAAACTAAACAAACCTGCTGGAAGCCCAAAAAGAAATCTACATGAAACAGTTGGGCGGGGGAAGTTACAAAATTTTGAGTCCATAAATTGCCCTGGAAGGCCAATCCAAATACTGGCACTTGAGTCTGTACAAGGGCGGCCGGGCCGATAACATCGGTTCTTGGTCAAACCATGAAAACAGTTTCGGAATGCCTGCCTCGAGTGTGTGTACAGCTGCTCCCTCAGAACAAAATTGAGATATCAGCAATATTTCAGACTCAGACAAGGCTGAAACTATTTCGAATGTTCAATCATTGGGAGCTTCCATGTGTAGAACCTAAAGAAGACCAGGCAAGAACCAAGTATTACGACACAGCCTTACCATCATTAGAGAGAGCAAAAAGAGGAACCGCCGATACGAGTATGTCTTAATAAACATACAAAATAATGTCGGTTCAACGATGATAGAGAATAAATCAAAAGAAAAAAAAATCCCTAAACTTCAATTTATTTATTTATTTATTTTTTTTTTGCATGAGAAGCGACGAATCAGCTACACGTACAGATCTCAGGACTTTCAATTTCTAAATAGAGGTTTTATCTGAATGAGTCATATCACCTATTCTATCTTCCAAGTACAATCTATGGATTCTTAAAACTTCCTTTTGGAACTCATGCAAAAGCAAAAAAGCAATACTGAACTAAGAATTCAAACAACTAAACCTTTGAAATTTGACCCAGAAAGAACTCTAAATTTAGCTCCGATTAAGGCAAATACAAGAAAATGTTAACCACCTTGAAAGAAATACCTCACTGTGGTGCCAACACTTTGACCCCATAAGGAACTCTAAATATAGCTCTCATTAAGGCAAACACAAGTAAATGTTAACCACCTTGAATGAGATACCTCACTGTAGTGCCAAAAAAAAAGGTCTAATAATGCACATCTAATCCAATGGATTGACCTAACATCAAGAATCATGAAACATTTTGCATGAGTTATTCATATAAAAGAGATAAAAAAGAGATAACATTCACAATGCAATCTTTTCAAAATTAGAGATAAAAAAAAGGGGAAACGAAAGAAAATTGACGTATTCATATAAAACCGATGACATCTCACAGAAAATCAGAAACAAATCCCTCAGGATCAATAGATTCAATTCATAATACAAAAGTCAGTCCACTACTTTAATCACGAACGATGATCATCATAGGGATTTTATAGCACGTCATTTCCTAAGCGCTTCACAAAAAAGTTCCATTTTTCCCACGAATAATAGATGCCTGAGAGATGCAAACCACATAAACAACACCCGAAAGAAGTTGGAATAATCGGATGAATACGATTTTAAGAGTAAAAGAATCAATCGACAGGTTTCCTCAGTTCAGGTCTCCAAAAATCTTCCGCATCGTATGTAACCTCGGAAGAACGAAAGTTATTTCATCTCGATCATCCTCGGAAACCATAAGAATCAATCGAAACAACAACAAATTAACACACACACAAACACGAAAAAGAACTTCTTTTCCAACACCTAAAAGCAATAAGAACCAACAAAATATGCTGGTGATATAGCTTGGCATGAGAGCAGAGAGATGGCTTGCCAGATGGCCCCATTTCCGCCGCCAACGGAGCCGATGAATGCCTCTCATCACTGAGAAGACGTTAATTTATAGATGGGATGGGGTGCCCTAATTTCGACGATGAAAGAGCGCACAACGATGAAATAATGGGCCATCATGTTCGGCCCACAAAGGCGCTCGGGGGCTTTGCGGATTCATATTTAAGTCTCCTTTCCATGTATTACCTAAACAATTAATCGAGTAATTTGTGGATTCATATCTCCTCCTCTATATTTTTACCGATGAGTTAATTTGATGACGATTTGATTTTTCAAAATTTAGCATCCAAATTTTGGAAACACATTCAAAAAGATATAAGGGTGTAAGCTAACACCAACCTTTTAGCATGCTAATAAAACATTTCAAAATTTATAAAAATATCTTATGATATCTAGCCTCGTCAACTCCTTCTCTCACATATTTTATTTATTTTATTTTCAAAGATTATTTTTATATTTATTTATATAATTTTTTTATTTATTATATATTTATATCATATATTTTTTATAAGACTATTTTTATTTATTTAGTTATTTATTTTATTTATTTAAATAAAAAATAATTATTCACTTAGAATAAATATTAAAGATATTAGAAGGGTAAATTTATCACATAATTTTTAATAAATTTTTAAAATATAAATTTATTAAACAATACTTGCATTAATGTATATTTAAAATATAATTTTTATCTATTGTTTATCGATGACTCAGAATATTCTACAATTACACATTCACTTAAGTATTTTTCTTCAAATATATATTAAAAATATAAATATATTTCCCAACATATCTTTAGTATGATTATAGTTTTCAATCATGAAACACTCGGAGTCTAGACTTAGTGATCATTATTTCTATTGAAAAAAATTTAAAAAAAAACTTAAAATTTATGCTTATGTTATCTTTTTTATATCTTTGTTTTTGGACTTGGAACTTGGATGTAGCTTCGCGTTGGCAGATTTATGTTGCACATCATTTTTTGGAATATAAATTGAAAAATCAGTTCATCAATATTTTTTTTGTTTTGAAAGTTATAAACAATTCTGATTTGAAGGTATCACTCTTTTATTTAGTTAGGTGGTGTACGCCATTATCTTAATTTAAAATATATCGATCCGATTGAGTTCAAATCGTTTAATCAAATTGGCTCAAATGAAAAGCTCAAATTTATAAATAACTTGAGCTTTAATTTTATAAATATTATTATGTCATTGGATCAAGATTTCGATTTGAATTAAATCAATTCACTTAAAAAATATATATTGAATTATTTAAAATTATAAATCGATTAATCAAATCGGAGTAATCGGTTTTAAATTGATTCGATTAGATATACTCAAATCGATGTTGGTTCAAATTATTTTATTTTAATCGAACTAAATTAAAAAAAATGATTCGATTCGATCCTTACTGGTTTGGTTGGCCCTACTCCCCCTAACCAATTTTGTGAAAGTAAAGCTCACATCAAAATTTTTATCAAGATTTGGAGGGGAGATGAAGAGATAAAAGTGATTTCTCTATTCAATTTTCTTTATCAATTTCCACTTGGTGATTACTTAATCTTTTCTTCTTCCATATTTATTTTGTATCCCATCGCTATCGATCATGGTCGACATCGAGATTATATTCTATGATGGTGTTCTCGATTGAAGTTGCATGAGAAAGTACAACAGTCTTAGAAATCCTACGAGACTTTCTAAAAAGTAATGTAGATAATGTGGAATATAATGATGGATGCATACACACGCCTTGTCGTAGAAGATTTATGTGCGCAATTCAGCTGCATACCTTTCTCGTGTTTTCACGACATTTTAATCAATTTGCCAGGATCTTGGAATCAAATTCTTTAGCATTAATATGCACGGAATCGAACACTAACTTGACCCAAAAATTCAAGCTATCAAGTAAGTATTCACTAACCCTAGTGTATGTATCATACATCCGACTCGTTCATAACATGAGAATATTCACACATGCATGTTGTTTCTCTAATAGACATGAATCTTAGGCGTCAGTAAACCGCATGTTAATTGTCGGAGATATCGATTAGGGTGAGTCACTACGTTCGCAAGATCATCATTTCTTTCTTCAGCAACCAAGAAAGCTTTCTCGACAATGGCAATACACTCGACGCAGTAGGAATCATGCCACGGCATTCACACCAAGCAGTAGCGTCGGCAGCACCACGGTGATCTCCAGAAACGATGCTTCTTTCTACGGGCACAATGGTTTCAACCCAAGACTGGTCTCTCGGATGAAAACAAATGGAGTGGATAAGCTACGAGCAGACTGATTGGACTTGGATTCCTTCCCGTTCAAGACAATAGGAAGCAACAGATGGTGACCCTGAGAACCAAATAAAATCAAATTCCAGACACAGCATCTCCGATGAAGTCTTTTCAGCTTTCAACGAGTTGAACGTTGACTGCGAATGGACCATCTGATGTGCCTTGCTTGTTCTGTCTATCCCACGCGTTAGCACCCTAAAAATGTGCTTTGTTAAAGAGTATCGGAGTTCGATGGCTTATGGCTCTCCTGCTTTATTCCTTTGGTCCCAAGCAAGACTTCAGCGATCAAAAGCAATCCACCTTAAAACTAATCCCAGGCATCTTCAAAGGTTCGATCAACACTCTTCTTCACGCTATTCTATTCTTCTCGAGCTCAGCTGACAAACGATTCCAATTTCCTACTACGAGCTCCGGTTGGCAACAAAAGTATTTTAAATGCAGCATTACTGACAAGGAATTCGGCCTTTCTATGCCTCAAGCGTCAAGTCAAACTTGATATTTTAGATACAGCACTCGCATGACCGTCTCATCTCATATGCTTCGCCCCGCCTACATGATTCGACAGCCGACGGCGTTGTCATCGTTGAAGTAGTCGCCGAATACCGTAGCCTGCGACTCCATCGGGGGCGGGCGATACGCCGGCATTTCGTAGTAGGAAGGGTGATGATGCACGTAGTGAGGCGGTGGACCGGGGTCGTAGTACGGCGTGGGAACTGCGACTGGCTCCATCGGGTAGTACACTCGCGCTTCGGACGTCATCAGCGCGGGCCTCATCATGCAGTTCACCTGCGGAATTGTTGTTGCAGTTGTCGGGTAGAAGCTCTTTGCTGCGTCGGGAGCATCGCTTCCTCCAGCATCACCGCCCTCCTTCGAGCTCTCCTGACCTTTACCGGCGTCGTCCCCGCCTCCTCTGTTGTTGCTCTCATTGCCGTCGATCGAGTTCGGGGTCTTCTCCTTCTCGGGGTTCGACTTCGCGCATCCAATCATGCCTTCTTTGTCCTTTTTTTTCTTGCTTGGCTTCTCTGTTTTCTTCTCAGAAGCTTCATTGCAGCACGTCCCCTCTCCCTGTGGTTTCTGGGACTCGTCGGACAACAACTCTGCGCTTTTTCCGACCTTTGACAACTTCTTAATGAGGATTCCGACGTCGACGTTGCCGATGACCGTAAGTTTGGGCAGAGTCGGGTGGATTTCTGTTCTCAGCACACCTGAAACCAGTATGTTCCGGTGCAGGAAAGAAGTTACACACGGCTCGCGAAGGGAGTAAAGGGACACAGAACAAGAAGTTAAATGGGAGCTCATGTTGTGCACCTTTGATGCTCAAGGCCTTCGACACTTTCCTCTTGCAGCCCTCGCAGCAGTTAACGGAAACCTTCAATTCAACTCTCTGCAGCCGATATCTTATCATTCGGACGAATGAACATGCACTCAGATAAATCAAGAGAGAGAGGAAGATCCGTGTTGCTGACCTTCAAATCGTCCTCCTTTGCCATTCTAAACTTGGTTTGCACTTGGGTGAGCAAGGAAGCGAGGCAGGGGCTCGGAGAATAGAAGGGAAAGTTGGCGGCGATGGCTGTCTGTCAGTTCATGAGGCTCGTCAGAGTCTTTATATACACCAACATCGAGGGTCATCTAGGGAATTTACAGAGACAACTCATGCATTGTACGTAAAGGGAATAGTAGAGCTTCTCCACAACCTTGCATGTTCTCCGTTGCCCGAGGCACAAAGGGCACACTGATTGAGACTTCCATCAGAATAAATATACCCCAAAAGTTGTCGTAGCAGATTCTCCTGATCACGAGCGGAAGGTCCTCTCTGCATCTAATGGCATCAGAAGAAAAGTATGGACAGACGCATGCCTTTCAGCACACCGCACTTGCTCAAATCTGACAACCGAGAGTTCGAGAACAGCTTGAGCTTTGCCTCTTCAAAGCTATACTGATACTCGTGTATCGGTACAATCAATGATCAAATGTAGTTTAATCATAGAATGCACTTTGGTATAGTATAATCATACGATGGAAGGGAAAGCGCCATGCATGCGTTAGGAGAAGCGCATATCACAGACTAGCATGCAGAAGAACATTTATAGTTTGGAATATTGCATGTTGCACGTGCCGTGGAGTTGACATCAAATCAAATTACTAATTTTTTTAAATCAAATGTTAGAAAAATTATATATAACATAAGAAATCATATATCGATAAAAAGTGATATAAATTGTGATATGACTAATATTTCAACCCAATCAAGAGTCGATATATGGAGAACAATCAGTTTGTCACGTTAACACGAGCACGAGGGAAGAATATTTTTTAAAATAATTTTAATTCTAGGAATATTATCTTCACTATTCTCTATAAATAAAAACATGGTAGGTATTGTTCTGCATCTAAAACCTTATTTTCAACTCTCATATTAATATCTCAAATTAATTTAAGTATTAGATCGATCTCGTTTAGTATATTCCAATATTAGTTTTATCGGTGATGCTCAACTTAAGGACTCGTCTTGAAGCAGCACCATAAGAAAGTGAGTCATTAAAAATATCATCAAGGCATTTCATTTCAATCTTTGAAAATATATATATATATATATCATATTTGCATAATTTTTTAAGAATGATATCAATAATTATATATATCATTATTAATTATTTAGTGGAGGAGTGCAGTTGAATCGGAGACAATTTGAAAATTCACAATCTTGCATCATATGGTGTATTTAAAATCAGATTTTTATTCAAGACATACTATTTTCTCGATCAGCAA